AAAAAAAAAAAAAAAAAAAAGCAACAAAAATAAATACAACTCATAAACTGACTTTGAAAGCAATTCTATAAGGGGATGCCAAAAATCATTTCAGCAACATCAGTACCAGTTTTCAGTTTTTAATAATGTGGGAAAATACTTGTTTCATAATATTAAGTGATGTTGATATCACTAATAACTTAATCACAACTTTGTAAAAAGAAAAAAAAGGCATAGAAAAAAAAAACAGTGGTTCCCTATCAATGATAGAATTATGGCTGATTTTTTTTTCTTTTTACTTGTATTTTCTAGATTTTCTACAATTAAACAACACTTAAAGTAGAAAATAAAAATTGTACCACTGGTAAAGGACAATGGCTGAGGAACAAATCACTCTGAAGGGCAGCACTTGGTCTGCATGTAATACTTTGAAAATCTGCATATACTTTACAGGTAGCACATAATTACACATGTAATAGCACCAACTTTCTCCTTGAGGATGGGGCTGTAGGTGTCCTATAATCCCTTATATCATCTTAGGAGAGTGCTAGTATATAGTAAGTGCTTAGTAAATACATGACGGCTTCCCTACAGAGGATTCCTAGGTCCAGGGCCAATTTGATATTTAGGGTTGGGGTGTAAAAGCAGGAATACAAAGATACCTAAACCTTGCACTGACTTTAAGCTTCTAGGTATGAGCACCCCTTGCAATGACACAAGGCTCACATTCTTCACAAGGGAAAGTTAACAACTCAGAAGGATAAAGAAATTGGCCCACAGGTGTCAGTAAAGGCAGGCAGCACAGGGAACAGGGTAAAGGGGGAGGATGCCTCTGCCCAGCCCACTCACCTGCCACCATCCCATCCCTCCCTGCCCAGCCCCATCCAGCCTTACGTACTGGAGTTTCGGTGGGAGCTGGCCAGGCTGTGTCCAGCCATCTCAGGAGGAGGCTGGTGACCACGGTGCAGGAACTGCTGGGAGCTGAGCACATGGCTGGGGTGGGCAACTCGGTTCATGCTGTGCAGGACGTTGACCTGGGCAGAGGAAAGACTCCATGGGCATACCCAATTCTCTCTAGGTCCTCCCCACCTCCTCACTGCTGCCCCCATCTCCTCCTCCTCCACCCACTATCAGGTCCATCTGCCCTCCATACTAACATGTCCATAGCCCACAACAAATGGTTTGACCCCACTCCGCCCCAGCCCCTCACCAGAAGATTCTATGGGTACCTCCACAATGAACTCATTGCTAGAGTAACGACCATTCATTTCTGAGCAGGAAAGCCGGAATTTCCTGGCATAGAGGGCAGCTCCATGTCTCAGCCGATACCGAGCCTGCCTCAGGACCTCTTCATAGGCAGTGATGCTCTCCACCCCTGGGGGCCAAAGAAGTATCCCAGTGAGGCAGGCCCAGCCATCCCCAGAGGTGTGACCTGGGCTCTCCTAGGAAGAGATGTTCTCTCCACCCCCACCTGCTCTGCCTGACTGTTTTCTGCTCAGCCCTTCTCTAATAGCTCTGTGGCTTCTGGGTAAGAACAGAAAGAAGGAGATGAGGAAATCCCAAAAGACATAAGGGAGGTGGCAGCAGGAAGAAAACTGAGACCAGGGAAAACAGAGAAGTCCTCAGCAAAGCCCTAGAAGGGGCTGGAGATAGGGATCTAGTCATACCCAACTCCTCCCATTCTCCCTCAGGCATCTTCTGGAAACTACCAAATCATCACTCCCCACTATTCATTAAGAGACAAGCACTTATGTACAGTTCTGGTGTGCACGTGAGATTAGCGATCTGGAAGACAGACCAACACCAAATGCAAGAGGTAGAAAGCTAGTCAGAGAAGATGAGGACAGGAAGGAGGAGAGAAGGGAAACAGAAACAGGGCCAGGTGTGGAGGGTGCAGGGTATAGAGAGGAGCAGGAAGGGAAGGTCTGAAGCCTGAACCCCAGCATACCTCCCCTAGGGCTATGCTGAAAGCCAGGGGCTCTTCCAGGTGGGGAAGGTACATGATGGCACTTGGCCACACCCCGGGGGGGGGGGGCTCTGAATTTCCCTGGTGTTTTCCCATGGTGAAGTTTACACACATACAAAGAGGACAGGCTCTCAGGCCCCACTGACCAGCAATGGTGAGGTACGCAGATGTATTGGTGAGCTCTAGCCCTCGCTGCTGCAAGGATGCCATGTCCAAGAGCAGGCTTTCCCGCTCAGGGTCTAGGTCATCCCCCACCAGAGAAATTTCACAGCCGTCCAGGTTATGCACAATCTCATCCGACATGCGTGTGTCTGTCACTGTGTGGAGAGAGTCAGGGTCTGGGTCAGAACTGAAGGGCTCAATAAGGTTCTGAGACCTAGCCATCCCCTCACAGCCATCCTGCTCCCCTTCTTAGGGTCATTCCTCAAGAGAAATCAGCATCATTTTCAAGAACATCATTATCAATGATTTCCTCCACCTAATGAACATCCTGCTTGCTCTACTTCTTAAAGATAAGTGGCTCTAGTCAAGCAAATGCAGAATGAAGTCACTGTCCACTTTCAGTGGGGCTCCTGCCTCCTTCTGGTTCTAGACATTGGCCCCATCTCTTGATGGTGTCTTGATCCTTACCTGTGCCCTGCCAACTCTCATCCTTTTTGGCCTCCACCTGGTGAGAAATGGAGCAAGTGATTTGAAGATCAGGGAACAAAGGGACCCCCTCAAGTCCTTCAAAGTCCACAGCTGGACGGGCAAAATGAGCAGTGCCACTCAGCAGGATCTGGGGAGCGTCAGGCTGAAGGACCACCACGTAGCCCTCCACTTCGGGGATGGAGACACAAGATTCTTCACTGAAGCACCTATGTGAGAAGGGGAGAAAGGCCATTTACTTCCTCAACCCCAATACCCTCTCCCTTAAAATCTATATTGTTTCTTTTTTTTTTTTTTTTTTTTTTTTTTGAGACAGAGCCTCAAGCTGTCCCCCTGGGCAGAGTGCCGTGGCATTACAGCTCACAGCAACCTCCAACTCCTGGGCTCAAGCGAGTCTCCTGCCTCCGCCTCCCAAGTAGCTGGGACCACAGGCGCCCGCCACAACGCCCGGCCATTTTTTGGTTGCAGCCGTCATTGTTGTTTGGCGGGTCCGGGCTGGGGATTCGAACCCGCCACCTTAGGTGTACGTGGCTGGCGCCTTAGCCGGTTGAGCTATAGGCGCCGAGCCAAAATCTATATTGTTTCATTCCTCTGGGCCTCTACCTCTACAATAGAGCACCCCATGTCAGGGAGGTGGAAGGAGAAATAGAGGGTAGTGTCTCTGCACCCCAACCCCAACTGCAAAGCTGGGGGAGATCCTTTCCTGTAGGATGTCACTACAGGAAAACGTCTACCTGTGAGAGTGATCACAATGCCCCACCCCACAATTATGGAACATCTACAAATTCAATTTTAATGAAAAATAAAACAACCTGAACTGAAAAAATGTATACACACATATTTCTTTACTCGGGAATTAAAAAATGAATGTCAGTAGAATATCTGACAAATTTATGCTAAAAATATTCAACAATAAGCCAGGCACAGTGGTGAGTCCCAGCTACTTGGGGACTGAAGTAAGAGGATCATTTGGAGCTCAGGAGTTCAAGATCATCATGGGCAACATAGTGAGACATCATCTCAAAAACAAACAAACAAAAAAACAATCCAGTGGTAAAAGTAGGGTGAGACATTTCTATCAAAGAATTTCCTACTCCTGGTATATCTTCTGTTCCTTCCAACATCTGAGAAACACATTTTGGTAGGTAAGATGACCTGACCACCTTGGACTAGATCTACCATGCCATGAAGCCTGTCTGATATGGGTACCAAGAACAAGTTCTCCCTAGAGGACTCAACTAACTCAACCACTCAGGAATGACACTTCCCGGATCATCTCTAAGCCCTACCCTTTTGCCAATAATAATAACATCTAATAAATATATAGCACTTGCCAATGTATGAAGCATTTTACCCATGTTATTTCACTATAACCTTATTTCAGTGCTATAGGACAGAGATAAAAAAACCAAAGTTCTGGGTCCTATTTTATTTGGAGGAGGAGGAAGGAGGGAGCAGGAGGAGAAGGAAATGAAAAAGAAGAAACAAAATAAACTAAAACTCTTAGATCAAGCCACATACGTAATATGTCCCAGAGTCAAGACTTAAACCCACTGCGAGAGGCCAAGACAGGAGGATCACTTGTGGGTTTGTTTGTTGCCAGCCTGGGCAACAACATAGTGAAACCTTGTCTCTACAAAAAAAATTAAAAATTAGCCAGGGCTGTGTGTGTGGCGCATACCTACAGTCCCAGCTACTCAGGAGGCTGAGGCAGGAGGACTCCTTGAGTCGAGGAGTTAAGAGTTTACAGTGAGCTATAGTAATGCCACTATACCCCAGCCTGGGCAACAGAGCAAGACCATCT